CAGTCTAGGTGAGGCAGCCATACCAGGAAGTTCCTGCTGCCTCTCCCAGACTGTCTCCTGGACTGCCTCACTTCCTGGAAACTTGATGTTTCCAGAAGTTCTTACGCTATGTCACATAGTTTTGGAAACATCTTTTTTCCTGCATTCTGTCTTCAAAAACAAAGATGTGTGTTTTATTTGCTGGGGGGGGGGACATGTGGTATGCCAGAAAATATGGTAATTTAGGTTCAGTGGGGCTCAGTGCTTTGGGATAGGGGATGTCATTTATGATGTTCTTCCCCTTATTGATAAGAAAAGACGCTTCTTTATCTTATGAGAGCAACAGCCCTTTCCCAAAGCACCTACGTAACAAAATTATGACTGCCAATGGGAATTCATCTGTAACCCTGTTAGATCTCCATTTATTATACTTTACTGGCCCTTCTGGGGATTACCATTTCCATGATCCTTTAGCAGATTTTCATAGCTCCAGGAAAGGGAGGCTAGCAGGCTCTCTGGTGGCATCTCTATATATGCGACAGATACCAAAGACTGGAAGTAACAGAAAAATTAACTCTAACGACAATGAAAAATGTTGATTTTCCCCCCCCCCGAACCCAGGTTCTTCAGTAGTTGCAGGAGTGCAGGAGAAGTTGAGTTGAACGAAAGGCACACCCAGGCACAAGGGCATTTTCAGGCACAAAGCATATTCTTTGGCTTTGTTCCATCTCTGGCTGGCAGATGATCAGGTCTTGTTTGCCAAGTATTATTTTCTGCTGTAAGACAGGGTGACTCCCTTTCCTGTATATGAACCATAGGACATTGGGGAAGAGCTAAGGGAGGTCATCAGAGAAAGCTTGGTGGCTGCCAGAGCAGCCTCATAGACAATTGTAGGCCTCTAAGAGAGTCACAAGGTTGAGGTTCAAGATATCATACAGGCTGCCAACCAAAGGAATGGAGCTCTGTCAGTATGAAGAGTGTGATGACTCGTACCATTTTGTAAGACTCAAGGGATACCAACTGTTTCCAAAATCTAGAAGTGTTAAAACTTCCCGGTCAAATGGCAGCAAGAATTGTTAGAGATGGCAAAACAATGTATTTTTCCTTAATTTAATTCTCAGAAAATGCTGAGCCCATTTTAGTAAAACATTAAAAATTCACTCCAGAAGGTAGAGCTAGGATCCAGAGTGACCTGAATAGACTGGAGAAATGGTCCGCAATAAATGAGTTGAGATTAACAAAGGTAAGGGCAAAGTCCTGTACTTGGGATGGAATAACTGCACCCACAAATACAGACTGAGGAATGACTGGCTAGGTTATAGTACTTCAGAGAAGGATGTGGGGCTTATGGTGAACCACGAACTGAATAGGAGACAACAGCATCCTGGGCTGTATTAACAGGAGTGTCACTTGCAAATCAAGGGAAGTGATTCTTCTGCTCTATTCGGCATTTGTAAGACCTCACCTGAAGTCCTGTGTCCAGTTTTAGGCCCCACATTTCAAGAAAAATGTGGACAGTTTGGAAAGAGTTGAGGACACAGCAACAAAAATGATCTGAGGCCTGGGACACAAGATTTATGAGGAAAGCTGAAAGAACTAGGATTATTTAGTCTGGAGAAGGGAAGAGTGAGGGGGGACTTGATAACATTCTTCAAATACCTGACGGTCGATTATAGAGAGGATGGAGATGAGCTTTTCTCTGTGACTGCAGGGAACAGGACTGGGAGCAATGGCTTTAAGCTACAGCATGGAAAATTTAGGTTGGATATGAGGAGGAATTTTTTGACTATGAGAGTGGTCAAGCATTGGAATGGTTTACTTAGAAGAGTAATGGAATCTCCACCCTTGGAAATTTTCAATAGCAGGTTAGCTGTTTTTATTTGGGATGATCCTGCCTTGAACAGGGGGCCAGACTAGATGACCTTCCAGCCCTACTTTCCTATGATCCTGCAGAACTGAGGCTAACTTCTAGCATGGAAATTGTCAATTCATATGGTTCAAAATTGGGGAAATTATAAACAACTGAAAAGAAAAGGTGTGAAGCTTCCTTACTTTAGGGCACAGCCAGTCATCTGTCTAGCTTTTCCCAAAAAAGGAGGTGAATGATTTATTTTATTGTCCCATCCAACTTATATTGACAGCTTTGTAAATACCACAGTAGATATCATTGGATATTAGGTTAGTCCTGTAGTCATTTATGATGGAAAGGCCTTTTGGAAGTAATTGGTTTTAAGAAGTAGTTTAAGGAAGAAGTTGATCAGGAGAAAGGAAAGCTATTTCTCAATTTGGAGAATCTGCCTTGCCAAGTTTGGAGGGAAATTATTTTAACATAAGTTACAAAAATGTTAAAAAGGATAATTACAACAGAAACGTTGCCAGCTGTACATTTTCCTTCATTCTACATTGATAACTGATGTCCCTCAGAGAATGGCAGATTACATGGGTTAACATATTTATACACATTCTTCCCCACTAAATGTTCAAAGCTCTATGCATATTTTGGAGTAACTGTATCTGCACCTACCTTCACACACAAATGCCTACATTTCTTTTCAAAGAGAATATATCATTTATGTGCTTCGAAACATGCACATTCTTAGTTATACTTCTTATTATACTTTTCTCGCTTACAATAATTTCAATTCTTCCCTTTTTTCCCCTTTTACTTTAGCTTTTTATGTATCCAATTTTTTTTTAAACGCATGGATCATATTTTAGATGCAAAGAGCCATTTTAGTGCCAGACTAAAGTGGCAACCAAATTTCACACTATAAATGTTCACACAGCCATAAATTTGACCCCCCGTTGGTTATATAAAAAATATTGAACTTGGAAGACAGTATGTAATGGAACAATTAAATATACTGTAATGCACATATAAAACAGTTAAAACTGAACAAGTATTTGTTACCTCAGTCTATCCTGATTTTTGTGTTCTAACTATAGAAAATTATTCTTTAATATTTAATCAAAGGAATATTTTGTTTTAATTGTATCAAATGGCAAGTTTCAATGTATTTCCTTTAAAAGAACAAACTTAGTCTTTTCATAACCAGGTGGATAAGGCCTTGTTTTAAGGAAGCATATGAAATAGAGAGGAAATCCGTTCCATTTCCTTTGTATACACTTTATGTATAAAAAACAGCCATGTGTTGGGGACAGTTTGGCAACTTTTCAGTAGGCAACAGTTGTAAAGCAATCCTTTAGGTGTTATAATTTATGTAAATCTGAACATGTGTTATAGAAAATCCTCTAGCTTTTTTTGCAATAATTTAAATGCTCTTCTTTCATCTTCTATTCATTCCTCAGCTCTGATTTTCACCTACTAAGTCTGTCCAATTTTGCTAATTAAGGAGAGCAAACCAAAAGAATCAGAGAATTAATGAATCTCTTCCCCTTATTTGTTAAAACTCATTCGGCACGTTGCAGCTGCCCTTACAAGGCCTTTATTCACAGAAATCCATCCTAAAGTTTGGGACACCTTTATTAACTGTTTATTGAATCCTTCAGTCATCAAAACCAATGGAAACAGTTTTGCTCAAATGGTTCTTTTTTATCAGTGTTACCCAGAAATGTAGAGAAGGTTTACTAAAATGAAAAGGAGTAGGAATCCCTTCACAATAAGAGAACTCCATTTTGCTGCTCATGAAATATGGTTTGAATTTGGAGGATGTCATAACTCTAGCGCTCCAGAGTTTGGCGTGGAACCCATATCTTAGCTGGAATCCTTTGCCCATTTCAGAGTGCAGCTTTCATTTCTGACGAAATGTGGCCAAATAAAATTTATGGCCTAAAATAGCTGAACAGTAAAAATGCAGTTCAAACTACAGTGACTGAAAGGCAGCATTTTATATCTGTGTAACAGTAACAACTAATTTGTATGCATTCATATGTTGTAAAAAGGTAATTAACTTTTACATTTTCATGCCAGTTCTACAACTTCCTTTCTTAAATGAAGCATCATTGTAGTTTTATTCTTTTTCTTAGTTCTACATTCAGGGAAACTAGCAATATGAAAAATGCCACTTAAGAAATAAGCTGATCTTTGACTGAGAAAGGGAGTAAGATATTCAAACTATTACATTTTTCACTAGCGAACCTTATAAACGTTGAAATACATTTTGTCAAAAGATCTATATATTTGCTCAGATTAATGCCCAAAGGAGTTATTTTCAAATTGTATGCTTAAAACTCTGAAAATAGAGATTTCTGCAGTACATGCCTATTGAAAAAATTATCTTATTACATCTATTTTTAACAAGTCTCTTCAATTGTTTTTAAAAAGTAATTTCTGTGCATTTAATTTGTTAAAAGGAAAATATATTTATATTACTACTGTCCTAAGAGATATACATGCCTTTTGAACTTTTGTTTATTGTAACAAAAAGATCAACAATGTTGACAAGTTTGGCCTTGCTGCAAGTTTTTTTTTAGTTAATTAATGCATTTCTTCCCAGTGACAATGCTCAGGTACTTTACAGGCATATGAATGGATTGTTGCAATTTATTTTAATCGTTGTCAATGGGAGATGTTGTGTGCTAGGCACTTATGAAAATCTGGTCACTTCATTTAGGTGTCCAAATGGGAGTTTTCTCTTTTGAAAATCTAATTATATTGGGAATGTATCAGGGCACAGACTATATACTTATATATTTGTATTTTACCGAGCGTAATTGGCCTCTCATATTGAAGAGGATGCGTAGGTGATACCACTATATAGAATACTAATTATTTTGTCACAACCATCCCCTGCCTCAGTGCCCTTATAGACTTGATGTACTTTGTCATATTGCTTGTTGTGAATGCTGCAAATTAATATTTTTTAGCTTTAATAATCACCACTGAAAGCCATTGCTTAACTCTTCTCCCTCATCCTTTTCTCTCTAAATTGTTATAAGACATTACTTTCCTAATTTTTCAGCCTGAATCAGGTCAGCCTGTGACCCTGTCTGCAATAGACATTACACAGAGAGATCACTTTTGCTATAGGCCTCATTATTTTTTGTTCCTTTCTCCACAGACTGGTGAATTTTCAGCTCGCTTTCTTTTGAAGTTGCCAGTGGATTTCAGCAATATTCCTACATACCTTCTCAAGGTAAAAATAAATTAATATATTGACAATGCTCACTCTGTGGGAAAGTGTGAATTATTGAAATGTTCCTAGTAAAAATTACATTTTGAATTTCAGCAGACAAATTTCCGCAGGAGACTGTAAGTCAGTAGTTTCAAAATTTGGTATTGTTGTACTTTGGAAAAGAATTACTTGTCCTTGCAAATGTGTAATAATCATAATAAAAATAAAAGCTACTTCCTTCAGAAGAAATAATCACTGATCAGTTTTACATTAGTGTCCAAAAATCCACCAATATGAATGGACTAAAAACCAACACAATGATTAGATTCCCCTATCTTAGTTTCCTTCTCCGCCTCTCATCTTTTGTTTTCCTCCCATCTACCCTCCTGTTTTCAGAGGTTCTCCCCTCCCCATCCTTTTTAAACAGAATCTGCCTCTTCATTTAGCCTAACAGATGTGAACTCACTTCAGTAATTTGCATTCACCATCTCATTTTTAAAAATAGGTGCATACGTGTGTGCGCACGCACACCCCCACATATGTGTATGTATTGAGAGACAGACAGACTGACTGACGTTCTAAATTATTATCAGTACCCTCCAGGTACGTGGGTTTGCTCCCCCTCCTCTTTCCAACCTGATCTGTTTCAAACTGTAAATTTCTCTGGGCAGGGATTGTATCTTCATTTAGGGTTATGTCTTCTGCACGGAAAAAACACCCAGAACAGTGTTTCCTTATGTTAGCTATCTGCGTGGTAACTATCAGGAGGTAAAGTGCTAGTGAATAAAATGAAGTTTTACTTAATCTTGTTTTACTGTAACTTTAGAAAGATTTCCCAAGAATCTTTCTTCCTTCTTATTTAAAACCGTAGGTAATTTTAATGCAGGGATAGTGGGATGTGGTCACAATCAATAATGCAAAGCACCAATGAGTCTAAATAAAACACTTACATTGGTGCAGATATAAGAATGAAAGGATGGATATTTTTGCCTAATAAGCAGTGGTTTGCAGTCATTGTGCATTTTGTCATCCCTGTTCTTTGTAGTTTGTGCCAGTGAAAGGTGTGTTGTTTGCACATGTTGTATTCCATAAATGAATTTTCTTTGTAAGGTAGAACATTTAAGTAATAGTGCAAGGCCTTGAAATTGTAGACACCATTTTCAGCGATTTTCATATGATAAGTTGAGAAAACAAACACACTACTTTTCTAGAGTCAAGCATGTGCTTCATTAAACCCTCACTCTCAGTTTGCAGTCAATTACCTCTTTGTTATGCACCCCTGGGTTATACAACCCAAGGAGGGGCAGTGTCCAACATACTGCGGGACCTCGCCTCATTAGAGAACATACATATTGCGAAGTAAAGTGAAGAATTTGAAAAATCAGTATGACGAACAGTTAATTTAGACCTAGTAATTATTTTTCTGCTCCAGACAGCAAGAAATTATCTTGGCAACCCTGTGACATGTGCATGCTTGTTCCACTCAAGTGTCTCAATTACATGTCTATTTAAAATAATTTGAATAAGTATTTGGGAATATTAATAGGGCTATTTAAGCAGTTAAATGTTAGTTGGCATAAGTACTGTCTATCTAGGTAAAAGTTTCCCCATCCCCCATGCTGTTTTCATATGTTTCCATAGCCCATAATGAGGACTAGTATCTTAGTCCTGAAGTGTTATATAGTATGTTCTGCCAAAAGATGAGCATGTTTACCAGTCTTTGTCAGGGAAGCCAGTAGGATTTCTGTTGCAGTGAGATCTATCTGGGAGCTAAGCCTTTGGATCTGGCTACTGTAGATACCTTAATATGCATCAGTTTAGTGGGCCAAAATCTTTATGCTGTCTAAGGGGTCATAGTAGGGAACAAAGCCACAGACTCTGAGATAATTTTGAAGAAATTAATGTAAGCTTTCAGGGTTTCGTGTCCATGTGGTAATCACTTCATGTCATTAAAATTAAATGGTAACAGAAGCAGACAAGAAAATTAAGGGATATGGTGGAGATCCCCCAAAAGTGTCATTTTCCTGTAGTAAATGGACCTTTGAAGTGTTCTATAAGTAGTACTGTTGTTGTGTCTTAGTAAATGTCATGTGTGGCAAGATTGTACACTCCTTGGTGACATTCATTGTACAGACAACATTGGAAGCAGTTGTTTTTACTTAACATTTGAAAGTAACTGGAGAGTGAAGGGCACATGCAGCAGAATGACAGAAAGATGCTATGTAAGAAGTTGCCAAGAAGAAGCCTCTTGGATTAGAGGGAATACTGTACAGATTGAGGGGAGATTAATATTTAGTTAAGTAGAGTAGTGATGGACATGATTTCCAAAGGTGGCATACAGCAAGCGTATGGTGGCGGGCAGGTTTACAATGAGAATACTTTTGCCCTAGAGTCCAAAATAAATAAGAAGCCTATGGAGATATTGGACGAAAGACTGTATTGATGTTAGTAGCAGGAATATATTTATATTTATCAAATCAAATTATGGTTTCTTGTGTGACATTCTTGAGTTATTTTAACACTGGAAGTATTTATTGTTCTCTTGAAAAATCCTAATTTCTGCCTTGCAGAAACCGTGTATGTTTTTATGTGCCTGTGTTACATTCTTATTTAAGCAGCTTTAAAAAAACATATTGTTATTTTGGTGAAACCATTCACCTTCACACAGGTTTGTGGTCTCATTCATGTTCACTGCATGTTTGTACTCTGTACTTTGTCAGTTAAAGATCTGCTTCTCCCTTGTGTTTCCCTCGTTTGCAGAACTGCTTAGGATGTGAATCATCTTGCCTGGCTCTTACAGCATTTTTTACAGGACAGCATGATAGGGATTAGTTTGTTCTACAACAGATCTAGATCTTGACTGACATATAATATTTATAAATAGGTATCTGTTATGCTGCTCTGTTGTATTAGACCTAGATGTTGTCCCATGCTGCAATTATCTGCTACAAGGGCAGAGTTTAAAGGTACTGTCTTCCCATTCCTAACAACTTGCAGGGCAAGAGCTCTCCCTGGAATATGACCATGTGCTCAGAGTTGTAGACCATGTGCTGTAACTGAAAGGACATGTCTTCTTTGATTGTGTCAGTGTGATTCCCACTCCAGGTACACATATGCTTTATTATACACAGGTCAGGTATTTTGAATAGCCATGGGCACTTCTACATGTATGCTTTAATGTGCAGTAGCCTATTTTACCGTGCATTAAAACATCAGATAAAAAAATGGCCTATTACACTAATGCGCAGTAAAATAGGCTACTGTGCATTAAGCATCACTTAAAAACCATGCCCATTCTTTACTTCAATTAAGGTAGCTTAATGTACATTTTTTTAGTATCTCACATTGGAGGTACTAAATTTAATGTGCATTAGGAAAAGTGCCTTAATGCATGTGTTGATACATCCAGTATCTATGAAGGCTGCACTTGTGCTCTTCACAGATACTGGGGTTTTCTGTTTTATGCAAGGCGATAAATGGCAGAATGACTCTAACCCACCCTCAGTTTCCTCTTTTCACTATTGGAAGCAAGACAGAACTCGAAGGGTGTCCCATTCCTCATTTTGGAGATTTCTAGTCGGGTCTTTTCACCTACTTGATGAAGACAATTTGCTTTCAAAGTCTGTAAGATAAGGATTCTCTTTTTTTTTTGTTTTAAAGGAAGCGATGTCCCCTTAGACTAAATTGCAATATAAAAGAAACTGAAATTTATTCGAGGGAACCCTAATGCAAGGATCTTAAGTTATGCATATTTGTGTAGCAGGCACATTAACCAGTGTCATATGGCTAGAGAGACTAAGTCACCTGAGGCAGCAAGTTAGCTAGGCAAGTTCACCAATAGGGGAAGGCAGGGATTCAGGGGGTTTTTTCCTACTGTTACAAGTGCCCCAGAGAAAAGAATCTGTGATGGGTGGAAAATGGCAAGCTGCTAACACTGCCACTAACTCTTTTACCTACACTTTCAGTGTTCTAGCCCTGACAAGAATCCTGTCTTACAAGTTCCTAACCAGAGACTTGTCTGGTGAGAGTGTGGCCTGCATGTCTCTGCTGAAAGTCAAAAATAGGGTACCACATGGTATGACAGGTGTTACTGTTGGCGTTACACAGGAAACAGGCAAGTGATCTGCAGGATGAAGTCTCTCAACATATGAGAATGGATTTTTTTTTATGTATCCTGTTGATAAACTTAGATCATTCAATCTTGGACTGGCACAGCACCGCAGGAGAAGGGAGAACCTCCAATGTCCCTCTTAAGGGAAACGAGGTCACTTTATGAGTTCAACTATGCACCCTTGCCCACCAAAGTCTCTGAGGCATAGGGGTCAAGAATCTCTATGCAGTCCTGAAGCAGAAAAATAGCCCTATTGGGTAGGGAAGAATAGCCACATGTCCCCAGTGCTGGGAGAGTCATTGTCCGCTGACCTGAGGATGAGGAAGAAGGATAATGAGGGTCTGAAGATTCCTTTCTGAGGGGGACAAAGTCATCCCACTTCCAACCTGAACTATCATTTTGAGAGGTGCACTTTCTGCCTGCAGCCAAAATCTCAGACAATGCAGAAAGGTCACTGAGGCTTACCAGGCCCTTGATACTGCCCCATACTGCTCAGTCACATGAGTATTAATGATACTATCAGGTATAATTTTGAGCAGATTAGAAGCGACTGTGAAGTTCTGGAAGAGAGGATGATGTTATTAAGGATGGAAGTGAACAGGTATAATGGCTTTATCAGTAGGGCTGTGCGAAGCTTTGGTCCCTGATTCGATTCGGTTGAGATTCGTCCCGATTCGGCGGCTGAAACACCAAATCCAAACTGAATCAGGAGACCCTTTAATCTCTCTGAATCGAATTGGAAGCCTCTGAATTGATTAGGAGAGATTCGGAAAGATTCGATGATTTGGACATAGACACAGCTTTAAATGTTTTTCTACATACCTCTGGGTACCAGGCGGCTCATGAATACTGAGATGCTGGGGTGCATGGAGTGTCCCATGCTGAGATGCTGGGGTACATGGAGTGTCCC